GGTGGGTTCTGTCCAGGCACCCACTTATCAAAAGGGCATGGCAACAAGGCAGACTGTACCTCTTTGTCCTCAACCTCCAGCTGCATCTTGGGTCCACAGGTGGTTTTAGCCACAGCCACCTGCAAAAGCTCAAGATGGCAGCACTGTTCCATGCCAGCCCACAGTCATTTTATTCTTCTATCTCACTGTTGTTGTTCAGCATCCTCTTCCAGTCCGCATCCAATCTACCCTCGGTCGTATCTTCTGATGCGCAGGACTCCAGGCTCACCATCTGCATCAGGTTCATTAGTTTCTCCATGTCTTTGTTGCAGAGGGTAATAGACTCAGTGAGTCTGCTTATTCCACCATCTTGCACTGCTCTGTGTGTTTATAACTCAAACCAAATCAAGACTAAATAGTTTTCTAGTAGCTTTCAGTACTATGTCACTAGGTGCCATAGTGACAACAGAAGGAAACATTGCCCCGCCCTGTGCCATCCTCACAAATGATTGAGCCCACTGTTGTTGAAACTGTCAACCCATCATGTTCCTAGCTTTACAGCACATGAAAGTCTTAAATTTGATACAGGCACAAAACAGTATATATTCTAACCACTAAAATATTTTGGGGGTTGATTGGGTAGAAATGTGTTTTGTAGGATGAGCACTTTTTTTCCCTCCACAATCCACCTGAGAGCTTATTTCGATACGTGGTTCTGTCTAGTCTAGAAAGGGAACTCTGAGAAACACTGGCAGGTGTAAGGCCAGGCTCCTGGTTCGGGTTCCTCACCGCCAGCTACGTCCGGAGCTGCACTATTAAGCCGACTTCATGAGGACGTGGAAGAGGGGCAGCCAGTCCAACCTCCACCGCCTTCGATCCCGCCCATTACCTTCGCCCGAGAGACACAGGCCACGCCCCTCTCTGCGACGGTTCCTAACAACGGGCCGGCTCCTCCCTCCAGTGTCTCCCGGAAAGCGCTCCGCCGGGTCCGTTTGCAATCTCGGCCCGGCGCGCCCCTTGGGCGCAGGAGGAGAGGAAGGTGCGTGAAGCTGTGAGAGGACACGCGGGCTGTGCAGGTCGGAGTCTCAGTCCGTTCCCTAGTGCGTCTCCGCGACTTTCTGGGAGAGGCGCTGGGGGATGATGATTCTCGTCAGAGCCCTTTCAGAGGTTGTTCTCTGTGTAGCCTTTTGAATGGGACCCCAGTCTCTGCACGGGCACTTAACGTTTTTTAGGATCATGTGGGCCCTTTGGGAAAAAGGCTTCCAAATTTTACCTCCTTGCTCTCTACCCCATCTACCCCAACTGTTTTCATTGTTACCGCCCAAGGAAAGTCTACGCTGGCAAAATTGGTCTTCTAGGACATTCATTTAATTAAATGGGGAGTGGTTTGCAGGTGATTGGTGATCACGAAAGCAGAGGCTTAAGTACAGATTTAGGAATACATATGCAATTCTATATACTAAAATTATGGCTACATTATAAGGGAACCTGATTCTTAAGCCTAAATAATTTCTTGTGAATGTAAAACAAGTAAGGAGGTATATTAACACTTTCAGGTGCCAGTTTCACACAATTGGCTTATAAAAATCTCCCCATTTTAGGACTACTGACTGAACTCCAGAGTACTATTAAAAAACTAAGGCTAGAAAGTCTGCCTACCCATTGTAGGGGATGTGGGAGGAACCAACAGTTCTGTATGGTTCCTTGAGTTAAAAAAAAAGTTGGCCTTATATACATTGTGTGAAAGGTTTCCTAGAAATCCTCCAGGAAGGGAGAGAGAGGGGGAGAAAATGAAGTGTGTTTTATCTAATATTTAGTTAGTCTGTGCTGCAGGATAGGGGACTATTATGTAATGTTTCATTGGGACCTGGAAATTGAGTCAAACAACTTGTAGCTAGGAGCCTTTTATGTTATTGTTTTGCAATTAAAAAAAAAAAAAACTACCAGACTGCCTGACTTGTAAGCTTGGCATCTACAGATGGATATGTTATAAAAGGGAACCTTGGAACGTAGTTTGTCAGGTCTGTCAGTAGCAAGATGCATACTGGGAGTACATCCTACGGAATGCTTTCCATACTACCAACTCCAAAAAATACATATTTTTAATAATATTTTATTGTATTTTAGTGAAATATTACACAGCAAATTTGTATACAAGTTTATACAAATTGTTCCATGTGTTGGTTACAATGTTCACAGGTGTCAGCAATCTCCTTACTTCCATTCTGTTGTGTTTTCATTGATCTACTTCTTCCTCTCTTTGTCTTCTCATATTTGCTTTTGTAATTGTTGAGCTTTTGTCTCATCTGGTTGTTTGTTTAAGGGAACACTTGGCTCATGGGTGATGTTTTGTATTTTATAAGCCACTGTATTATTTAACAGAAAGACAACCTCCAGGAATAGCTTTAAATTAGAAGGCTATCGTAGAGTGATAATCTTGGAGTTTCTTTAGTCTCTTATCAGTGTAAGAGGTCTGGCCTTTTTTAGGGATTTGAATTTTGTCATACATCCTTCTCCCTTTCTATCTGGGACATTGTCTTGTCCTCCTGGTCAGATGGTCAGTAGTGGTAGTAGGGCACCATCTAGTTCTGTCCTCAGGTTGGAAAAGGCCATAGTTTCTGTGAGTGTGGCATTGTGGGCTAAAGGTCAGCAGTTCAAACTCACCAGCTGCTCCTTGGAAACCCTATGCAGGGTTGCTACGAGTCAGAACCGACTTGACGGCACTAACCACAACATTATTCACATGGATTAGTTTCTTCTCTGTGCCTTTGGTTTCCTTCAGTCTCTTTTTCTTCATATGAGTCGAGATCAATTGTGCATTTTAGATGGCCGTCACAAGCTTTTGCAATCCCAGGCCCTACTCACCAATCTAGAATGTAGAACAGTATCTTTATGAACTATATTATGCCATTTGCCTAAGTTGTCCTCCGAGACTATGGTCCTTTGCATTGTAACCAGAATACAGTATTGCGAGTTGTTTGAATATGTCTGGGAGCCTCCATAACTGTCCTCTCTGTGTTTTGTTAGCACACACAAACGTGTGTCTGTAAATATGTTTATGACGGTTGATATTTTGTTGACCAATAGAGACTTTGTAGCTCCTGTTTCTAGGAAACAAAAGGATCTCTTCCCCAAATCTTAAGACTGCCCCTGTCCTTTGAGAGTTTTTTTGTTTGTTTATTTCTTCAGTTCTTTCCTGAAGCTGTAGAAGGACTCTTTGTGATCTACAAAACCCCTGAAATTGCTCCTGTACCAAGTATATTAAGATCTAAGATTCTTGTCTGATTCTTAAAAGAACTTAAGACTCAAAAGAAGGTGGCAGCTTAATATCTCACACTCTTCAAGTTGTTGAGGGAATATCCACAAAGATAGAAACTATTTTTTAGGCAAGTGACTTAGAATGATAGTCAGAAGTAAGTAATAGTTTCCATTTGTAAGGCAGGAAAAAGGGATTGGTCCATGTTTCTCAAATATCACTTTCTTGGAGCAACCCAGAATGTAAACCTGTGCTTAATCAGTACTTACCAAAACTATTTACTGTGTTTTAGTTTTCCTTTTGGGTAAATTTGGCAGGTCCATAATGATTCTCCTTCAATGACCAACATCTTTTTCTTTTTATCTTCATTTGTACTCCAACTTCACGGGACCTACCATCTTCAAAAAGCTCCTCATGAGTAGTTAAATTAGTATCACTGATTTCTTCTTAACCAACTGCATTGTATTTTATGTTCTGCTGGACTTTGTGCTCACTTTCTATTTGGGAGACCACAGAAAGTTTCCTGCTGCAGTCGCCGAGTTTCTCCTGTCAGTGTTTGTACTCACAGTGTCTGGAGCCCCAGAGTTAAAACACTGAATTGCTATAAGGTTCATAATTTAAAGAGCTTCACTTTACAGCTGTGGAATGCATATCAAATCAAAAGGGCCCCAGGTTCTCTTTCTCCCTTGAAATATATCTTGCTTACAAAGTATAGGAATAACAAGTTTGGCAGCTGGTTATGAAGACTATACTAAGTGGAACAGTTATTTTCCTAGTTTGGCTCTAATATTGAAGGATCTAAATGTTATATATGTTTAAAAAGTAGTGTGAATTCTTCGAGTGAATGAACATTAATGCGACTTTGTAAAATTTAAAAATTTATAATCAGGCTTTATTTTCCCATACATATGTATATTTCACCTTATGGGGTATTTCACAGATTATAATTGGTTGCAGGTATCTCTTCTGGTAGCACAGTGGGTTACACATTAGAATTTTAACTGCCAGATCAGCAATTTGAATTTATTGGAGGTTCGAATCCACCGGTGGCTCTGAGGGAGAAACAGGAGACTTTGCTCCCATACAGATTTACAGCTTCGGAAACCCTATACAGGGTTGCTATGAGTCAGAATTGACTCGATGGCACATAACAACAACAGGTTCCTCTCATTCTCTTGTATTATGTGTGTGCATTTTAATTTAAGCTAGAGAAGAACATATCTTTTAGAATATGTTCAACTAAATTTTACTAATTTCATTGGAACCTTGTATTGTTATTAGAGTTCAGATTGAGACTTGAGGTCATGTAACATGAAAGTCAGGGTCTATTTTTAAATACATTTCTGACTGGTACTAACATTAAATCTTTATATTTATTATATAGAACAAAGTTGCCATTTTTAGGACAGAAAAGGTTGTTGAAGAATGTATTATTAGGACCTAACCTTTATATTGGAGTCCTGGTGTGGCACTGTGGGCTAATGCGTCAGACTACAAAGTCGTTTGAACTGCAAGGTCAGTGTGGTTCAAGCCCACTAACTGTTCCTTGGAAACCCTATACAGGGTTGCTATGGGTCAGAATCGACTCCATGGCACTTAACAACAACAATTAAAATTATTACACAATTGTGTATCAATTTTTTTTATAGGGGCAGTGAGTAAACTGTCTTATTTTATTTTGTCCCCCCCTTCTTTTTTTTCCCTTTTTTACAGTGCACCTATGATATGGTTTGAAATAGATGTTAAATTTGAGTTTGAATGAAAAATGACTTCCAATTCACCTGTATTTCTCAAAGAAAATGAAGAAAATAATTCAAAATTTATGGAAATACAACAGTTACAAACCACTTCCATAGTGTCAGAAGATCCCCTTCAAAACTTACACCTGGCATCTCAAGAGGTTCTTCAAAAAGCTCAGCAAAGTGGGAGGTCAAAGTGTCTCCAATGTGGTGGTTCAAGAATGTTCTACTGCTATACATGTTACGTCCCTGTTGAAAATGTACCTGTTGAACAGATTCCACTTGTAAAGGTTGGTAAGAAATCAAGTTGTTTTAAAGCAGGAAAATAGATTTTAAAAGATGTCTTCTCTATGTCTGTATTATTTACCCTCTTCAAGCTATACCTAGATCTCTGTATCCCAGAGCCCTTTGTTCCAAGGTTGAGTATGCATCACTATTTACCTCTGTCCCATTAGACCATGCAAACCTGTCTCAGTTCCCCTATCTATCTTATGCTTCTGCCTCCTTCCCACTTCTTTTTTTGCCCTCCCCAACACCCAAAATAAACCCCCACCCCAACCCCATTGTGATTACCTTATATTCCATTAGTTCTTCCCTCCATTTAAGATAATCTATTTTATCCAGTTATCTACCTGACCTTCCCACTACCTGGATCTCTGTTCTTCTGTATTCACGTTTTTTCACATTGTAATTGTTTTGATCATAGACTGACCTCTCTGATCCTCTGTTCTTATAATTTTATTCTGTTCTTGACTCTTTCATTTGTCGATTGAGTTCAGGTTGATGCTGCCATGTACGTCATTCTGTAGTTGTTATGTGTTCTTGCTGGTTCTCAGTCCACAGAACTTCCTTTATGATGTTTTTCATAGCAGGGTTGGCTTTGGCAAAATCCCTTAGCTTCTGCCTATCCTGGAATGTTTTGATTACACCACCATATTTGATTGACAGCTTTGCTGGGTAGAGAATTCTTGGGTGCCAGTTTTTTTTCTTTCAGGGTTTTATATATCTCTCCCCATTGCCTTCTTGCCTGCATGGTTTATGTTGAGAAATCCGAGCTTAATCTGATTTGCTTGCCTTTGTATGTTATATTTCTCTTTTCTCTAGCTGCTTTCAAGATGCTGTCTTTATCTTTGATTTTGGAGAGCTTGATTATTATATGTCTTGGTGATTGTCTTTTAGGGTCTATCCATCCTGGGGTTCGTTGAATGCTTATCTTTTCACTTTTCATGATGTTAGGAAAATTTTCTTCCAGAAGCTCTTCAACTATCTCCTCTGTGGGCTTGTGTGATTGTTCCTGTTCTGGAATGCTAATAATTCTTACTTTATTCCTCTTCATGTTATCCAACATGAATCTTAGGCCTTCTTCATATTTTTTAATTCTTTTTTGTATTTGTTCTTCTATCTTAGTAGTGTTGAGAGATTTATCTTCTAGCTCACTAGTTCTAGCTTCTATCTCTTCAATTCTATTCCTTTGCCCTTTCAATGTATTGTCCATTTCTGATATTCTGTTATTAATCATTTGGACCTCTTTCTGTAGGTTTTGAATTGTTTCCAATGATGTATTTGATTGTTCCTGTAGCACTTTCCTGACTTCTTCATTATTTTTCTCAACTGCATTGTATAGTGTTTTGATACCTTTTATAATCATTTTTAGGAATTCCTTCTCAGGCATTTCCAAAGCCTGCCCATCTTCCAGTATGGAGTGTAGGTCTCCTTCCAGCTCATTTGCCTCAGTCACTGTATCTCGTTTCTGGATATGTGCATATATGGTTGTCTGCTTCTGTTTTTTGGGTATCTTCAGGGGTATCGGTGGACTTAATACTTAGATGGGTATGTATTTGGGTATTTTTTATGCTTTCTGAATGTCTCCAGGTAGATGTGATCAGAAAATGGGCTTCCCTTTTCATTCTTCTTCCTGAGAAGTTTCAAGATACCACTGTTGGTCGTTTTGACATAACTTAGGATTTAATTTTCGGCCTGTTTTCTCTTTTGTCTGCTTGTCCCACTCCACAATCCCCGTTCAGACCTTTTTTCTAGTTGGAAACAGTTCAGGGCTGGCTGTGGCCGTTTGGTTTTAATTGGAAATGGTCTTTTTAAATTTTGAGGAGATCTGTGTGCATGCATAGTAGAACCCTCCGAGGGTGGGGCCTGGGGTGCCCACTAGCTCAGGCACTCCTATAGTCACCAGAACGGAGGTGCACAGACAGCAAGGGAACAATGAACAGCTACCCAAAGAAAAGTATGTCCACACCTTTATCTCAGCAGTTCTGCCAGGTGTCTGTGGCAGCTCTGATCCTTCCTCCACGTGGTCTCACCCAAGATGGAGGCTCCTGGAGCAGCCAAGCATTTCAGACTAGAAAGCAGTAGATATCTTGTTTCTGCCACAAATTCCCCCAGTTGTGAGCCTTCCAACTTTATAAATATTTCTCTATATGTGGTTCAGTGTTCTGGGACCATCCCCTGAGCCTGCTTGGTCGGGTATTCTGTGTTGTTGTTGGCGGAGCTCTTTGCTACACGTCCACCCGATATGTCATCTTGTTTGTTCTGTCTTCATAAGTATTTTAAGTCCTCTTCACTTCCAGAAAGCAAGGTTGTATCATCTGTGTATCACAGGTTGTTAATGAATCTTCCTCCTATCCTGATGCCAGGTTCTTCTTCATATAATGCAAGTTTTCAGATGATTTGCTCAGCATAATTATTGTATAAGTATGATAAAATAGTACAGCCCAGGTGCACATCTTTCCTGATTTTAAACCAGTCAATGTCCCCTTGTACTGCCCTAACACCTGCTTCTTAGTCTATGTACAGGTTCCTTTTGAGCACAATGATGTGTTCTGGAATAGTCATTCCTTACAGTATTATCAAAAGTTTGTCATGATCCACATGGTCAAAAAGCCTTTGTAGAGTCAATAAATCACAAATAAATCCTTTTCTGGTATACTGCTTTCAGCTGAGATCCATCTGATGTCCTGTTATATCCCTTGTTCCCCATCCTCTTCTGAATCCTGCTTGAATTTTCGGTAGTCTCCTGTTGATGTATTGTTGCAACCATCATAAAATTATCTTCAGTAAAATGTTATTTGGATGTGATACTAATGATATCATACCATGATATCCACATTCTGTTGGGTCACCTCTCTTTGGAGTGGGTACAAATATGGATCCTTTCCAATTGGTTGGCTAAGTTGGGAAGCCCATTGCTCTGTCTCGTGCTCTGACTCTTGGTCCTATAATTGCTGCTCTTCTGCCAATCCTCTGGTATCACAAATTTTTGTCCTTGGGTTGAGGACACAGAAATCTCAGTGTTCGAATGCTGCATTCCATTCCTGACTCTTTGATGCTATTAAGATCCCCCCTCCTGTTTCTGAGATGACTCCTTTCATACTCAAGGTAGTTTAAAGTTTTTACAATTAAATTAATGATGTTAAAATCCATAGCTGAACAATGCCATATTATCAGTATCTTTCCCCACCTTCTCTTATCCAGATTCATCAGAAAAGAGTCATTTGGTAGGAGTTACAAAGACTTAAGTTAGAAGAGGCATATTAAATAATTCACTGCACTACAGAGCTTAGAGAGCAGATTCTGTGTTCACTGTGTTGAAAATAGGTGTTCTGCTACATGATAGGAGTCCTGGTGTGCCACTGTAAGATAAGCACTGGACTGCTAACCCACAAGGTTGGTGATTCAAACCCACCAGCCGCTCCTTGGAAACCCTATACAGGGTCACTATGAGTCAGTGCCAACTCGCAGGGTTGCTATGAATTGGAACCGACTCAATGGCACTTAGACCAGCAACAACTACGTGATTAGTAATTGTTGTTATTAAGTACTGTCAAATTGGTTCAGATTCATAGGGACCCTGTATAGGGTTTCCGAGGAGCAGCTGGTGGGTTTGAACTGCTGACCTTGTGGTTTGCAGTCTAGTGCTGATCCATAGCTTCATACCAGAAATCCACACAATTGATAATATCTAGGAAGAAATTGTGTTATGATTTCTAATTTTTCTTAACACTCTGCTTTAGAAAAGCATGCCATTCAAACCTTGAGCATATATATAGGAAATTGCTATAGGTTTGCTATTTAAGCTTTAAAGACCACTTTTATTGACATGAAAGTGAGAAGACTTTTTGTATCTTTTTTTTTTTTTTTAAGCTTCCATTGAAGGTTGACATTATTAAACATCCAAATGAAACAGATGGGAAAAGTACTGCTATCCATGCAAAACTCTTAGCTCCTGAATTTGTAAATATTTACACGTATCCTTGTATTCCAGAATATGAAGAAAAAAACCATGAAGTAAGCAAATTATTTTTTCACAAGTCTTTACAATGAATGTAAAAATGAATTTTACAATCTCTTGTATTCCTAAACTTATTTGAATATAATTTAATATTTTTCTTACTTACCTAGTGCTATCATGTATTGAATAATACAATTATTATTCAAATTTGCACACCAACCACTAAAACCAATAATGATGAGATTGAAGAATTCTACTTTTGAGATGGACTGGCCAAGTAGCAGCATCGATGGACTCAAGCGTGGCAACAGTAGTGAGGTTGACCCAGGATCGAGCAGTGTTTTGTTGTGCTGTGCATAAGGTCTCTATGAGTCAGTACCAACTAGATGGCACCTAAAAACAACAATAACTAACTTCTTCAGTCTGAAATTGATCAAACATGCAATCAAGATATATTGATAATTACTCATGATTGGAATGTAAAGGTTGGAAACAAAGAAGAAGGATCAGTAGTTGGAAAATATGGCCTTGGTGATAGAAATGATGCCGGAGATCGCATGGTAGAATTTTGCAAGACCAATGACTTCATTCCAAATAGCTTTTTAAAACAACATAAAAGATGGCTATACACATGAACCTTACCAGATGGAGTACACAGAAATCAAAATGACTTATCTGTGGAAAGAAATGTTGGAAAAGCTCCATATCATCAGCCAAAACAGGGCCAGAGGCAGACTGTGGAACAAACCATCAATTGCTCATATGCAAATCCAGGCTGAAGCTGAAGAAAATTAAAAGAAGTCTTGTTGTTGTTAAGTGCCGTCGAGTCGGTTCCGACCCATAGCGACCTTGTACAGGGTTTCCGAGGGTATCTTTACGGGAGTAGAAAGCCTCATCTTTCTCCCGCGGAGCAGCTATGAGTCCCAAAATATGACCTTGAACATTTCCCACTTGAATTTAGAGATCATCTCAAGAAAAGAATTGATGAATTACACACTAAAGACTGAAGACCAGAAGAGTTGTGGGTTAACATCAAGATGATCATACAGGAAGAAAGCAAAAGGTCATTTAAAAGACAGGAAAGAAAAAAAAGGCTAAAATGGATGTCAGAAGATACTCTGAAACTTGCTCTCCAGTGTAGAGATGCTAAAGCATATGGAAGAAATGAGGAGGTAAAAGAGCTGAACGGAAAATTTCAAAGGTTAGCTCGAGAAAACAAAATCAAATATTGTAATGAAATGTGTAAAGATATGGAGTTAGAGAACCAGAAGGGAAGATCACTCTCAGCATTTCTCAAACAGAAAGAACTGATGGAAAAATTGAAGCCTTAACTTGAAATATTGAAGGAATATAGGAGTCCTGCTATGGGTTAATGCGCTGGACTGCAAAGTCAGTTTGCAATGCAAGGTTGGTGATTCAAGCTCACCAACCGCTCCTCAGAAACGCTATACAGGGTCACTCTGAGTCAGAACTGCCTTGATGGCATATAATAACAAAAACATGGGCAAAATATTGAATGATGCAGAAAGCATCAAAAGAAGAAGAAAAGAAATATACAGAATTATGAGACCAAAAAGAAATGACTGATTGCCGGGGTCTGACCCCGACATAGTTGTCACGAGTTTTTGGTTCACGAGGAGGGGAGATCCAGCGGCGATAGGGATAGCGAAAGAATACACAGACAAACAGAAGAAGGGAGACAATGAGGCACCCCAAAGCCAGGGTGGATACATCACTGGTGGGCAGGCTTGGGACTACAGACATCATGGCCTCTGCAGGCAGCGACTCACTGCTCTGCAATCTTTAATGGATGCCTTCCAACCCGTAATGCACCGCAATCTTTACTCCATGCCTTCCAACCAGTAATGCACCGCAATCTTTACTCCATGCCTTCCAGCCAGTAATGCACACCTGGGGACCAGGCCTCTGTTTTATTTAGGGGAGGAGTTTCACACCAAGCTGGGAGGGACTAAAACAGGATACAGCTAACATCAGTAATTTTCCAGACATTCAGGTAACTTTACATTGTACTTCACTGGTTCGAATCCCAGGCCAGCAACTTGGATTTTCAGGCCCAATTAACATATCTATAGCCCCTGAGGTCAGTTGGGGGAAGTTGAGAGTTCTGCAGGAGAAGCCCAGGTGAATGGGCTGTACCTGGAAAAGGGATTAGGGAGGATGGGTTCTTTGTCTATAGAACAAAGAACTGAGAAGTAGCTAAGATATTTTTAGTTAATCCTTTGGAGAAAGGTTTAACCTTGCAACCTTTAGTCTTGGCTTTAGGAAAATATCACATTTATCTGTGGATTTTCAAAGGCTCCAGTGTATTAATTTAATATATATACCTGAATATTAATATGAAAGCAATTTGCCATTGACTGCCAGTGGCCTCATTTGTTACACTCGGCCCTAGAGGGCCTCGAACCTCTGACTAGTCTTACACGGTCTGCAACAACTGATGTTCAACCATTTCAAGAGGTAGCATATGATCAAGAGTCAATGATACCGAAGAAAGAAGACCAAGGTGCACTGAAGGCATTGGCAAAGAACAAGACTCTGGGAATTGATGGACTACAAATTGAAATCTTTCAACAAATTGAGGCAGCACTGGAGGCGCTCAACTGTGCCAGGAAATTTGGAAGACAGTTACCTGACCACTTGATTAGAAGTGATCCACATTTGTGCACTTTCCAAAGAGAGGTTACCCAATGGAATGTGGAAATCATTGCACAATATCATTAATATGTCATGCAATGAAAATTTCACTAATGATAATTCAAAAAGTTTAGCAGTACATTGACAAGAAATTTGCAGAGATCCAAGCTGGTTTCAGAAGAGGACATGGAATGTGAGATATCACTGCTGATGTCAGATGGATCTTGGCTGAAAACAGAGAATAACAGAAAGATGTTTAGCTGTGCTTTATTGCCTACACAAAGGCTTTCAATTGTGTGAATCATGACAAACTATGGAAAACATTGTGGAGAATGAATATTCCAGAACACTTAATTGTGCTCATGAGATGCCTGTACATGGATCAAGAGGCAGTCATTCGAACAGAACACAGGAGCACTACATGGTTTAAAATAAGGAAAATTGTGCCAGGGTTTTATTCTTTCACTATATTTATTAAATCTGTATGCTGATTAAATAATCTGAGAAGCTGGATTGTATGCAAAAGAATGTGGCATTAGTATCTGAGGAAGACTCATTACCAACCTGTGATATGCAGGTGATACAACTTTGCTTACTAAGAACAAAGAGGATTTTACATACTTACTGGTGAAGATCCAAGACCACAGCCTTTGATATGGGTTGCACTTCACTGAAAAGAAAACAAAAATCCTCACCACTGGACCAATAAATAACATCGAGCTAAATGGAGAAAAGATTGAAGTCAGTGACTTCATTTTGCTGGGATCACCCATTAACACTCATAGAAGCAGCAGTCAAGAAACCAAACAATGTATTGCATTAGACAAATCTGCTTCACAAGACATCTTTACAGTGTTTAAGTGTAAAAATGTCAGTTTGAGGACTAAGGTTCACCTGACCCAAACTGTAGCCTCAAATTTAGTAGCCTTCTATGCATATGAAAGTTGGACAATGAATAAGGAATATTGTAGAAGAATTGATGCATTTGAGTTACTGTCTTGGTTGAAAATATTAAAGTACCATGGATTGCCAGAAGAACAAACCATCTGTGTTGTAAGAAGCACAGCCAAAATGCTCCTTAGAAAACATGATGGCCAGACTTCATCTCTCATACTTTGGACATAATATCAATAGTGATCAATCATCACTGGAGAAGGATAGGATGCTTGGTAAAGTGGAAGGTCAGTGCAAAAGAGGAAGACCCCAGTAAGATGGATTGGCACCGCGCAGGTAGCAGTGATTTCAAGTGTAGGAACAACTATGAGATCATCACAGGACAGGGTAGTGTTTCATTCTGTTGTACGTACATAAGGTCGTGAATCTGTACTGACTCAACAGCATCTAACAACAATAATCCCTAACTACAGTGCATCTTCCTTCTGAAGTGTATAGATTTATATCAAGAAACAATAGCTACACATTTTGATATTGTTCAGTAAATATTGCTTTGATTTTGTAGCAAAACTAAATAAGGCAGTCCCTGGGTTGTGAACAAGATCTGTCTTTAAAAAATTGTAAGTCAGTTGGAAGAGGTGCATATGGTATTTTTTAATCTTACTTCAGTGCTAGAAAAGGCACAAAGCCTTTTCAGTGATTTAAAAGCTGCATGTGCAGTAATTGAATGTGATTGTGATAAAGAATTTGTTGTGAGTTAGTTCAGTAGTTTCGCACTTAAGGCAAATTTACATAGACATATATTGGTTTTGAGCCCTGCTCAGATGACCCCACTCAAGGATGTACTCAGCTGTGCCACTTTCAATGTGTGTAGCTGTCCATATTGCTGTTAAGTGCCGTCGAGTTCGTTCCGACTCATAGTGACCCTGTATAGGTTTTCTGCAGAGCAGCTGGTGCATTTGATCTGTCGACCTTGTGGTTTGCAGTCAGCACTGATCCTACAGTGCCATACCAGGAATCCATAGTGCTACCAATAATCTAATTCCGTGTATGCATTAGGCTACTGAAAGGACTCAGTATTTTGTATCTTCTAAGTTTTCTATTCCAAGGCTTCAATCTACTTTTTCTCATTCAGATTATCGTGATGAATCACCAAATTGTAAACATTCAGATCTGTTCCTGTTTTGCTTAGTCATCATCACAGAATTGGTTAGAATAGGTTCAACATCCTGCTTAAAGGCAACTAGGAATTGTCTGTAGGCCCAATGTTCAGACACTTGTAAGACTTTTGGGTTGTATTTATGATGATCAATTACTAAAGAAGAGCCATAAACACTACCTTACATATTAAAGAAGCACACACAATAGAACGGAATGCTTGTTTCTCAGATATTCAACATACTTTTTTCTCTTAATGTTATAAGTTAATGGGGAGAGATTTCATTTAAAGATCATGTTAGCACACTGCTAACAACAGTTTCTTTGCTTTAGGTTGCACTTGTTTTTCCTGGACCAAAGTCTGTCTCAATAAAAGATATTTCTTTTCATCTGCAAAAAAGGATGCAGAATAATGTTAGAAGTGACAATGATGACAATGACAGGCCATCTATTAAGCGTAAGAAAACAGAAGGAGAAGGTGGCTGTGAGTTGAATGACAGCAATTGGAAAGGGACAACACTGAAGAAAATTATATTCATAGATAGTACCTGGAACCAAACAAACAAAATATTCTCTGATGAAAGACTTCAAGGTAAGAAAAAAAAAAAAAAAGAGTTTTTTTGACTTATTTTGAAAAACTTCAAACCTACAGTTAAGGTGAAACAAGTGTTGCATTGAATACCCCTCTACCCTCCCCTGGACTCATCAGTTGTTAATGTTCTGACATATTTGCTTGATTTCTCGTTTTCTATTATGTGTATGTACTTATGTTTGTATTTTTGGCTGATCCATATAATAGTATCTTGCAGGATTTAAAAAACTTCATCTATTAAATACTCAAGTATATTTGTCCTAAGAATAATAACATTATTTTGCATAGTAATACAGTCCTAATATCATATTAACAATAATATTATCACTTAAGATAAAAGGATGATTTTTCAAGTGTGTTCTTTCTTCTTCTGTTGTTAGCTGAAATTCTTACATACAGCAGAGCTTTTCCATTTCAGGCTTCTGTTTTCCTCTTACTCTCACTCCCCTACCCCCACTTTCTTGTAATCACTGTTGTCGCCTTTATTTTTTAGTTCAATATGTTATGATTTATGACTTGATATTGTTTTTAACACTCAACTTTTGCCTGTAGGTGTGCCTTCAAATCCTTTTTGCATGGCCACATTAGTCTTTCTGATACAACATGATGTACCTAATGTACTTTTCTTTTCATGTTCCAGACCCGGAATCAACCATTTTTCTAAGGAGTTGTAATTCTTTTTAGTGGGAAATTATATTAGAAACAAAGGTTGACAAAAACTATAAACCTCAGATGAAAATTTATGGGATCACATCCAAGTTTGGTAAAAATTATTTAATCTTTCTGTAGTGGAGTTGTTGTTAGTAAGTGCTGTCGAGTCAGTTTTGACTTATAGTAACCCTATATAGGATTTCCAAGGTAGGTACAGGGAAAATAAATGTTTGTGATAACTTTTGAATTCAGTCATCATTGTTTAATTGACACAGTTAAAAGTCTTTTAGTCAAATACACTTAAATTAATTTTCCTTATTGGAGTCCTGGTGTGGTGCTGTGAGTTAATGTCCTGGACTGCAAAGTTGATTTGAATTGCAAGATCGGCAGTTCAAGCTAACAGCCGCTCCTTGAAAACCCTATACAGGGTCTCTATGGGTCGGAACCAACTCGATGGCACTTAACATCAACATTTTCTTAATTTAAAATAATATCGTTAATTGGAATCTGATCAATGTGTATTTTTCTTACAGTTTTTTAAAATCAGTACTGTAAAAAAGTGGTTGTGTAACGTTGTTGTTAAGTTCTGTCAAGTCAGTTCCCACTCATAGTGACTTTGTATAGGGTTTCTGAGGCTGTACATTTTTTGTGGGAGCAGAAAGTCTAATTTTTCTCCCATGGAGTGGCTGGTGGGCTCAAACCACCAACCTTGTGTTTCGCAGTCCAGTGCTTACTGTACAGAGCTATCATGCTCCCCTGTGGGACATAGACTTTTTAAATTCTAAAATTCATATTTACCTTTGTCTGAATGCCCCTTTTGCAAAGGTTATGCATCATAGAAATCAGATTTTATCAAATTATACAGTTAATTTTTTTTAATACTATTATATAGAAATAAAATGTAGTAGAATGGACCAGAGTTAGGAAATATGGATTCAGTAATATAGCTGCTGATCATTTGTTATACTTCTTATTTTCTGTTTATTTAGAGTAGACAATGTAATTTTATGTAGATTATCCCATTTGATCTTCACCACAATATAATGAAAGTAGAAAATATTTTCATCTCTGCTTTATAGAAGCAATGGTTCAAAAGGATTACAACTTATTTGCCTAAGAAATACAGCTAGAAACTCAAAGTGCTTCTCTTGTTCTCTTCCGCTTTACTGACTTCATCAGATTTTTTCTGTAGTTTTTCTAAAATGTTTAGGTTAATTCCAGCTCTTCAGTGGTTTTGTATATATTGTTTGACTAGAAAGCAAGAGAGCAGCCTAGTTATTATTAAGAAGAAAAGTTTCAACCTGGGAGTGTGCCTCCCTAGGCTTGTGTTAAAAAGATCTATCTTTAGAATGGTTTTTAGAGTCTGATTTATATTAATTAGTCCCAGGCTAAATTGAATGAATGCTAGATTTAACTAGTTTAATTTGTATCGTTTGTACTACTGAGAGCTGTACACATGTTAGTAAAATTTCTTTGGCATTCTAATTGTGTATGTGTGTATTTATGTGTGTGTGTGAAAACATGATAGAGGCTAAGTAATGGATAGAAGGGAGCTGTATTTGTGTGTGTGTGATGTACTAGGGTACTGAAGACCTGGAAGAGATTTATTGCTGATTTTTAAGCGAGGGAGCCCTAAGATCCTGTTCTTTCAGAGAGAGAGGAAGTATACCGGCCACATTCACTTGGATGGTTAAAGTAGCAAGTTACTTCTCAGTTTGATGATGTTTTGAGACATTTTTCTCTATATGTACCTTCTGTGGTAATTGAATTGACCAAATAAAATAACAAGTGTAAACCCTTGAAAAAACTATAAAAGGAATTTTTGAAGTACGATTCAAAATGTTTTTGGAGTGCCCACATTGATATTAATCAGATTTGTGCAAAAGATTTCTCTTATTACTTTCAAAATCACATAGAAAGTATCAATCATTTATGTCAGTTCTATGCCAGATCAAAATTATCAAAAGATTAAAAAAAATTTTTAGCCTTTAAGACAGGGATGGGGAACCTTTTTTCTGCCAAGGGCCATTTGGATATTTGTAGACAACATCATTTGAGGACCATACAAAATTATCAATTTAAAAATTAGTCTGCTATATTTGGATGACTGGAACTGTGGTAGCCTTGGCAGGGCCAGACCAAATGATTTCATGGGCTTTATATGGCTGGCCTGTGGGTCGATGTTTCCCAGCCCTGCTAAGATAATGAAGGAGTCCTGGTGTGGCCCTGTGGGATAAGCACTCTACTGCAAAGTCAGTTTGAACTGCAAGACCAGTGGTTCAAATGCACCAGCTGCTCCTTGGAAACCCTATACAAGGTAGTTAGGAGTAAGAACCAACTCAGTGGCATTTAACAACAACAACAAAATAATGAAATAAAGTTTCTAGAGGCAGACTTCTGTGTGTGTCATATTTCAGCCACTGACTCTCCTGACTCCTTCTGACACCACAGGGAATGATTGGTTTTTGAACATATTTATAGCCTCTGTGTATATGTGATTTGCTGAAATGCCAGTTTCTGGATAAGTCAAGCTTTCACGAGAAACAATCCGTGTTTGTTTAAAATTATTGCCTTTAGGTTTTCAGACATTTTATCATTTTATGGGCTTAAGCTGAACATGTTAACTCTAAACTTCCATTTAAACTCTCAAATGTAATGTATTGGAATTTATAAGGCACTGTTTTTTTTTTTGTTTGTTTTTAATTATGAATGCTGAGGTTAAGAACCCATTTACCAATGGAACACTGTACTGTTCTGGCAAACTTTACAGAGAAGTAGCTCTAGCTATTTTCACCTCTGTCAAAAGGCAACACATAAATTACACATAAATAAAACCCTTGTTTTTAATATATTATTTGTTATATTAAAAGTAGCTAATATAATCACAAAATGGAAGCCTAAACCTACAAGTGAAGAGCTGACATACATTCTTGAATATGCACCACCAGTCTTGGGAGACTACGGAGGGGAGGGAGGTTTCTTTTTGTTGGAGTGTCCAAATGAGTAAGCATGGCATTACACTTTAATTCATCACACAAATTAGTCATCCCTTCCACTTTATTTTGACTAACTGTATTGTTGCAGCCTTTTAAGTGATAGCTTTGTTCACATCATTAAACACTGCTCAAACTGTGTTCATTGTGTCAACAAATGCTGCATTTTAGGATGTGCTAGACAGAACCTGTATAAGGTGAAATACTGTCAAAGAAAGAAAACAAATATTTTTCACTGAAATGAGTGAAAGAAAAGTGGTGAGACTGTACCCTATCAGAGGTGAAAAACTTGATAGATCCAGAAAAACAAGGCTGTCCCATTGAGGACTAACTCTCACAGGGTCCCCTGTACTGCCTTATCCAGTCTTCACAAACACAATATGAGGGTAGATCAAGCTCTCCATTCTTGGTAGTTTATATAACGTCCTCCATTCTTCCTGTTTGCTCTTCCCGGAACTCCTATTAGATATTCAATCCTTAAGGTCTCTTTGTATCTTAATTGTCTTCTATCCCTTAACTCTCTGTTGTGTTTTGGAGGCAGATCAAAAGATTTTTGTAACTTTCTGGGTGAAATGGTGTGTGATGGTAGGAAATCATTATTTGAATTAAAAATTCCAGGTCTGGGCCAGTGGATTAATTTTGATGTCACCTTGTCACTTTTATTTCTCACTTTAAAATGTGATCAAAGTAAAGTATAGAAATATAAGTCATGTGATTCTGAGAACTTGTCTAAGGGTCTGAAATCACTCTGCGTTTATAGGCTGAAATCTGAGCTATAAGAAATGACAGGGCTGCTTTGTGATTTCATGAACCATTTCCTCTTTGAATGTACAAGGACAAGACAGTCTTTCTGACGGTGTCCTGTGGCTCTGGAGCATAGACGTGACAGAAGCTAAAGAAATAATTGTAGGTATTTTGTTTATGAAGAAATAGCCTAAAACTGATCCTCTAGAAGTAAACTTTTATTGGTATTAAGGCCCATTAGGCACTTATCTTTCCAAGGTTCAGAACAACATGTTCATATAAGTTTATCAAGTAAAGAGTTTTGCCGTTGTAAAAACTGGAACTTTCAGCCCTGTCACAGGCCAAAATTTAAAAGACACTGGTAGATAGATTGAAGATAGAAAGAGATGAATATCTTAAATTCCTTTTAACCTGTTGTTACAAGATCCAAGACTGAGAGGTAGTTGTAATGTATAAAGGTTTCATTCAATGCCTTATATTGCATATATATATATATACTTTAGTGCATTAAGAAAACGTCATGTATATATATACCTTAGTGCATTAAGAAAACATCTTTGGAATTGTGATTGAAAGAACTTATCTGAGATGATTGAGAGAAATCATTATTATTGTGCCATGCTTTGTAGTTAAGAAGAAATATTTATATCTTTATTGTTTTGTTTTGTTTTTTGTTGGCAGGGTTGTTACAAGTTGAGTTGAAATCAAGAAAAACTTGCTTTTGGCGCCATCAGAAAGGAAAGCCAGACACCTTCCTTTCTACAATTGAAGCCATTTACTATTTTCTAGTTGACTACCATACTGATTTGTTAAAAGAGAAATATGTAGGACAGTATGACAATCTTTTATTTTTCTACTCTTTTATGTACCAGTTGATAAAGAATGCCAAATGCTCTGGAGACAAAGAAACAAGAAAACTTATCCATTAACGTTTTCAAATGATGTTTTTGTCACTATAGTTTGTTAAAACGAATAAATTTATTGTGCTTTTCATCTTCTTAGAAATAATTATGTGTAATGTCTGCAAGAGCCCTTGAAAAATATCCTGGTTTCCTTCATTTTTACCTTGTATTTTTTTAAAAGAAAGTTTGATGGAAATTTTTCAGAGAGAGCAATGACTATAAAACTCATTTTAGAATTTACATGCTCAAGTTTACTCTGTCTTTCTTCCATTACTGCATTTAATATAATGTCTTGTCTCTGTGTCATTGTTTTTATTTGTTTAGAGATATCCTTAGAGTCCTGCTTTAGTGCTGTGGGTTAATGTGCTGGACTGCAAAGCTGATTTGAACTGTAAGGTCGGAGGTTCAAGCTCTCCAGCTGCTCCTTGGAAACCCTGTGGTCACTATGGTTCAGAACTGACTCGATGGCACTTAACAATAGCAACAACAGCAGAGATCTCTTTCTCCAGTGATCTTATCACTTTTGGAAGTAGATGGGGTCAGAACCTCTTGCTGAAAAAGATGCAGTAAGTGATTTTTTTCATTAGTGGCAAATCCAAGCACAATTAGAATTGTAACTAGTTTCTATAGGACTATTTTTGTTAAGTCCACACTGTCTGTGATAGACATAATGCTTCTTTTTACATCTGTCTGGCATTTTTTTTTTTTTTTTTTGAATGGGGAGCAGTGATTGCTAACAATCATGCGACCCTGCCATAGGCATGGGCAGATGATCCAGTTTAATAAGCTAAATCTGTTCCCCCAACATGGTGGTTGATCCAGGCATGAGTACCTGACCCAATAGCACCAGGTCCGTTTTGATGATTGACATGGAAGCCGTAGGAGATAGAGTGCTGTTTTCAAAAGATGAAATGGTGTGGTGGTTGAAAGCACAGGCTCTGGAGCTATACTGTTGTTGAATGCCAGTTGGTTCTGACTTATAGTGACCCTGGATTGGGTTTCCAAGGAGCAGCTGGTGGGTTTGAACCACTGACCTTGCAATTAGCAGACCAGTGCTCATCCTACAGCACCACACCAGGAGCTACGTTACCTGGATCTAAATTCCAGCTTTTACTTTTCCACTTTGTCAGCTAAATGACAGTTTCGTCATATATGATGGGGTGATGGTTATATGCCGTGGAGTCGGTTCCAACTCATAGCAACCCTGTACAGGGTTTCTGAGGCTGTAAATCTTTACGGGAACAGAAAGCCTCAACTTTCTCCTGCGGAACAGCTGGTAGTTTCGAACTGCTGAACTTGAAGTTTTTCAGCCCGATTCCTAACCACTACGCTTCGTCATATATAGAGACTGGGTAATAATAACAAGAGTTACTTCGTAGAAATATTATGAATATTAACTGAATTAATATATCTAAAAGGCATTCAACAACACTTGGCTTATAGTAAGTGATATACAAGGGCAAGTCAAAAAGTTTGTTGTTTAGGATCCAGTTCATACATGTACAGATTTACTGCAAACAAAACATCTCTGTGATCAGTGGATGGTGGCAGACAAGTTCTCTCAATAGTACACTTATGTTAGTCTTATTAGGGTACCTTCAAAAAAAAAAGTACAATTGAAACACCTTTCTCAGGGGGTGGGTATGCTGGGCCAGTTAAATTCAAGACCGATAAAGTTAGCGAGGAAGCTTCTGGTGGTTGTTTTTTGGAATCCACAAGTGGTCATCTTGAGAGAGATTCTTGAAGGACAAAGGTTGATCATAGGGGCTTTTCTGAAAACGAAACTACATTGATGAGAAAAAGGCCAGGAAAATGGCACTGAGGATTTTTACCCCTTTCTTTTTATTGTGTACCTGCTGAGTCTTCCAGGGTAGCAAAGTCTGTCCTGGGAGAATTTATTGGGAAACTTACCCCTTCTACCCTACAACCTTGATCTTGCCCCTTTAAAATCCTTTTGTTCCCAAAACATGAAGAACATTGGAAAAAGAACATGAGTTGAATCCCTGAAGGATGTCAAAATTGCCGTTTTTATGTGTAAATAGAAGATTGCAGAATTTTTTGTGGAAGGGATAGAGATATGGAAACACTGCTTTCAGAAGTGTATCAACATAGATGGAGGAGGAGACGTCAAGAAACAACATCACATTTTGATATTTTTGTTGAATGTTTCTCTGATTTTGTAGCAATATTTTTTTTACTTACCCTCATATATGTATTTGTACTTTCTAAGTTTTCACTTGTCATTGTAAACTGAGAATGATAAAAGCCTAGAGCTGCTGGTAGCCTTGTGCACTGTCAAGTGGTCATTGCCTGTCTTAGAATGAAGCCAGCAAAGGAGAGCGAAGTGAAGTGATAAAGAAGGCTGACTTGTCAACACCATTTAATCACCTAGATTGAGCTGCACCTGAATGGAGCTCTGTGCTGGATAGCTTCTGCTTGCCCCTTTGGTTACGCCCTCCATCCTTCCATTCTGCTCTCTTCGGCCTTTTCAGTGAGGTAGACTCCTTTGCCCTCCGACATCTGGTTGGGATCAACAAATGGGAAGGACCAGCAGGAGCTTGGAGGTTAAGTGGGAAATGAAATAATGACATCTGTTTTCCTGGCTCCTTTCCTGCTAGGTCACCATGGCCTGGCTGTTTCCCTCTATTGAAGGCCACCCTGTCAGGCATCCCTTTTTTGACAAGTGTTCCAGTTACCCTGTCAGGGTTGAGGTCCCTACAGGCATCCCTATTCAAACAGTTGTCCCAATTGCTGGTCCCTGATCCCCCTTCACTTTTTACTTAGGGATGATAACGGCCCCCAGCTGCTGTCGTTAAATGTCATTGAGTCAGGTGTGACTCATGGCGATCCTGTATAGGGTTTCCAAGAAGCAGCTGCAGGGTTTGAACTGCTGACCTTGTGGTTATCAGTCTAATACTTATCCTGGAGTGCCACACTAGCTGTTATTAACACCTGGGTAATTTATTACCCTTTATTGTTTCCTACCCCTATTTGTTTTCCAGCCCTTTGTAAATAGTTTACTGCGCTTTTCTCAGATGTCCTAATTTGAAGTTGCCTTTTGTTTCTGGGACCCTGAGTGATACACCTAGACGTGTTCACTGGAACATATCAAGTGTTAAGACAATGTAAGATTTTGGTGAAATTAGTATGTTGTTTATTTTATTTTTTCCTCTCTTAGAAATTGATACAATAAAGCATAATAAAGATTCTGAAAAATACTGAAATAAATAAGAATTTTGAACCTTAAACTAGAATTTCTTAAATTTATTTGAAAATATAACAAATAATACCATCCAGTGGAAGTAGAGTCCCACAAGATACATCTTAGAACAATCCTCTAACTGTACATGTGGCAAATGAGGTCAAAGGATACTAAGTAACTTATCCATAAGTCCCACAACTAGTTTGGGGCAGAACCTGGTCTAGAATCTGGGACTAATGATTTGGTCCAGTGAGGTCACCCTTATACCATGCTGTTCATTCAAAGGAATGTGGATTATATAAGGCTTGAACATCATTAGCCTCCATCATCTTAGCCAAATGAACTGGCTTGCCTGTTTAGCAATTATTTTATAAGAATGGAATTAAAATGGATTTCTTCATGTTTAGTACTTGGCCCTAGGAACAGAGGAAGGCTTGGATTGATTTAAACAGGGCCAAAGTTGGATTTCTCTGGGCTAAATTGTGACTTCCCAGAGCCAAATAATATTGCCATTTAACTGACTTTACAAACAAAACAAAGAAAGGGAAAAAAAAAAACAAAAAACTAATAAAAGAGTAAACTATCTTATCCCTCGTTTGCTCCATCTCACAGCTGGCATCAGAAAGGTGACCCACATAGATCATAAAAGCCGAATTTACAACTAAAACAAGATAAAAGCTCAAGTTCTTCCCCAAAGAATATAATAATAGCTACTAGAACAATGAGTTAGTTGTACTTTGTCATGTTTTTCTTTAGAATAAACTGCATTTCGATAGATTGCAAAATGGTCCTGTATTTCCCCCCTCCCTATTCATGGTCCTTTTTCTGTTCCTTTGAAGTACCCTCTTGATTCTGGGCCAAATGCATTTCTAAAAATATAGTGTATTTCCGCTTATTCTTGTGCTGATATTGTTGCTCTAAAAACATTCATGTGTGAGCTGGTCTGCTGGAGGTTAAGACATACATGGAACAGATCTAGGTTGTTCTGGTCACCATCACCAAGTCCAGTCTAGATTGGCTGGTAGCCAATCTCAAGATATGTAAACAATCCCAACCAAGGTCAGTCGTGCCACCTAGCTGACACCTCCCTGATTCCAATGGATGCTTACTGCGAGGCCACTGAAGATTTATAGCTGTTTGTTGTCCAGCATTATTGTAGAAATCGATCTCAGCTTTGTATATACTATCAGCTATACAGCCTCGGAAACCCTGTGCAGGGTCGCTATGGGTCGGAACTGACTCGACAGCACTTAACAACAACAACAACATTCCTTCCTTGCGCACCTTCTCAGATTCTCAGTTTCACTGCTCTCCTGGGCCCTTGGCCACTTGCTTTGCCTTAACTGGTACCCTACATAGTTACAGATGACCAATAGGCTTGCATAATTCATTTTGAGACCAACTTGTTACATGCTTAGAATCTCTGGCCCATCCCAACATATCTAGATTCTAGGAAGCAATATGCTATGGCGCTTCTCCAGTGACTGCAAAAGGGCTAGACAGTGCAATCTGAAAGAGCTGTAGAGTTTACTACCATTCTAGCAAATTTGGATCAGTGCACTATAAAAAGCTGTCAGATGAATTCCTCCTTCTTTTTTTAATGGATTGTTTATAGACAATTTCTCGTCCTGCCTGTCCAGAGATGTATCCTGCAACTAAGCAAGTGTGCTTGCCAAGTGATTGGCATTGCCTTGTCATGCCTTTTCATGAAACAACAGAACCCTTTGTGTAATAATTTATCTGCATTTGCTCCCAATCCTTGTTAGCCTCACTTCCTTCTTCTTCACTCTCATTAACCTGAACTGCACCTTCTAACAAAGTAGGA